TCTCCCTCTCCCACTCCCCCTGCTTGTGTTCCCTCTCTCGCTGTGTGTCTGTCAAATAAATAAATAAAATCTTTTAAAAAATAAAAATAAAAGAAAATGTGTTCTCTCTCTTGCTCTCTCTCTGTGAAAATAAATAAATAAAATCTAAAAAAAAAAAAAAAGAGAGAAAAGAAACAAAGGAGACTTAACCATATCAGAAGTACACCATGTCACTATTTGATCCTAGGTTTAAAACAAAAAAAAATAAAAATAAAAAAATAAAAGAAAATGAAAAACCATAGAAAGGTATGAAAAAAGTTAAGTTCACTAGAAATCCTATTATATATATTTATACATAGTTTTACAGAAATGAGACATCCTATAATGTGCTATATTATAACACAAGTAGGTAGTTTGTTATAATAATTTTACCTTTTTTACCATTTATATGTAATGTGAGTAAACTTTAGGCTTTATTTTTTTTCAGACTTGTTTTTTCATTTCAATTCTACGTATTTTTTTCCCTACAGATTTTATTTATTTATTTGAGAGAGTAGAGAGAGAGCACAAGAGCAAGGTGAGGGGCAGAGGGAGAAGCAGACTCCCCGCTGACCAGGGAGCCTGATGCAGGGCTCGATCCCAGGACCCCAGAATCATGACCTGAGCTGAAGGCAGATGCTTAACCGACTGAGCCACCCAGGCGCCCTCAACTCTACATATTTTAATATGTAACTCTAAAAGATGAGGATTCTTTTTAAAACAATCACGGTACAATTATCATACCTAAAAAATTTTAACAGTTCCTTTAATATCAGTTAGCCATTCAGTGTTTAAATTTCCCTTGCATGCCTCCTTTTTTTTTTCTTTTTATGGTTGATTCCATTGAATCAAAACAAGCAAGGTTCTTAAGCCTATCTTAAAACTATAGGTTCCTACTCTCTCATTTTTATTTCTTTGGGGTTTTTGTTGTTGAAGAAACTGGGTTGTTTGTCTTAGAGTGCTTCCACATTCTGAATTTTTCTGATTATGTGCTAGTTGTGTTGTTTCTCTGTCCTCTGTGTTTCCTGTCAGCTGGCATTTAGATCTAGAGACTTGATCTGATTTAGATTTGTAGAGGGGAGAGCAGTGTGAAGGCAGGAACAAATAACTTATAGGTAGCATTATGTATCAGAAAGTAGACTGGTCTTTTTCTGAGTTAATGAAATGTTTATGTTTATATCTTTATCACTATTTAAGGTAAAAAAAATGGAAGTTTTGGAATATTCTTTTTATTGTTATATTGTAGTGAATGTCAAAATTATAAGTCTATTTTTAAATAATGCTTAATTAAGTATAAATGAAAAATAAAGGAAAAAAAACAAAACAAAAATTTTTAGCAACCAAAAAAAATAGTCATCTAAATAATATCTGTATCATGTTAAATAAGTCAACTAATTTCTGCTCCAAAAAAATAAATAATACTTCTTTTTATCTTGATTATAAAAGCAATACATTCTTAAAATAGAAAATTTGGAAGATATAGGGAAAAATATCCATCACTTACAGATAGCCAGTGTTGTTAACATTTTAATGTATTTTTTCCATTTCTCTTTATTAAAAAAAATTGAGATTATTCTATATAGTATTATCTGTTTTTTTAATTTGATTCTTGTCCCATTAATTACAAGTGCCTTTTCCATTCTTAAATCTCGAGATCATATTTTTAATGCCTTTGTAGTTTTTCATTATATAAATGAAATTATAATTTATTTAATAATTGTTCAGACATTTATGTTCTTTAAAAATGTTGATATGAATACTTTATACAAAGTCTGTGTGTATTCTGGTTATTTCAGTAAGATGTAATTTCTAGATATAAGATGATTGAGTCAAAGTTTAAATACATTTGGAATAGTACTATTAAATTAAGTAATTGAATTGCTGAATTACTTTTAAGGTACACTATAAATTCTGAACTTCATGCAAGTTATATAGCAGTTATGGATAAATTACAGCTTAGTTGTGTTGAAGGAGTTTGCAGTGGGATGAATCTTTTAAAAATAATTTAAATAACAATTTATATTACAATTATATAACTATATAAACATCAGTTTCATATTATATGATTATACAATTTGCTCATGTTATTTGCAATTATTCATAAATAAAATTTAATAATTCATAATTTGTAATTTGATAATATATGATTTGTAATTTTATAAATTATGAAATTATATCACATATAATTTTATATATCACATATTATATATTTAAAAGCTGTTATATAAAGTATAAGATCATAATGTGATACATATCTAATGTATAACATTATATATATAGTTTTATAAATTATAGATACATTTGTAATATAAATTATATAACAATATAAATAGGTATGTAACTAAATAACAAATAATTTTTAAAACAAATACATTATTCAAATGTTGAAACATTTTTTTTTAATCTTACAAAACTGGAAATCCCCTTATAGTTTGTTTCTTATCAACAAGCGTTTTCATTTATCTTATTCACTTCCGTGAGGTATAATACACGTCATCTATTTTCTCTTGTATTTCTGTTATCATATTTTAATATTTAGTATTTTAATACTTAATACATATTTTAATACTTTAATATATTTTTCATTCTGCTAAGAAAGGAACTTGGTATTATGCATTTTTTTTGTATTTCAGATTGCTACGCTTTACATATGGTCCTTCATTTCCTCCATTTAAAGTTCCTGATGAAGATGCCAGTCTGATCCCTCCTGAAATGGATAACGAGTGTGTAGCACAGACATGGTTTCGCTTCTTACATATGTTAAGGTACTATTATTTAGTATCGTGTGTGCTCTTTCCCTGGTGTCTTAGGGCAGGAACCATGCTGTAACTTTTGTGTTGGTGCTCAGTGTGTGACGGCTAAGTACAGCCCTCAGATGGAGCCACGTTGGACAACAGGCCCATCTACATCATTGCCTCCTGCTCTCCCTGTCCCAGCAGAGTCAGGCTGCCCTCAGCTGCACTCAGTCTGCAGTCTCTAGAAGCTTGTCCCCTGTGGTACATGTAACGTTTGTTCTCATGCCTACTGCTGCAGCCTTGATATTATCTCTCCCAGGACCTGCTCTCTCTTTATAGTAATTCTGTTCAGTTCAGTTTTATTGCTTCTTACTTTTCTCTCTACTAGCTACATCCTTGTGTCCTGTGGAACTTTTGTTCTGTTGCATACTGCCCTAATTCTTAAACCATTTTCTCTCCATATCTTCTCATTCTGGTTTGACTGGCCTCATTTTTTTGTTTGTGTTTCTAAATTACCCTTTTCATAAATTAGGGATGTTAACTATTCTCTTTTTTCCCAGTTTGTGTTTTTCATCTTTCAGTGATTTCAGTTTCTTTAAAATGTCTTTTTCTATGATCATTTTCTATTTTCCTTTAAAATTAGAAAGCCTTTCTGTATAATTAATTCTTTTTCTCTTTTTTGATAGTAATCCCGTGGATTTGAGTAACCCAGCCATTATAAGCTCAACTCCCAAATTTCAGGAACAGTTCTTAAATGTGAGCGGAATGCCACAAGAATTGAATCAGTATCCCTGCCTTAAACATCTGCCTCAAATATTTTTTCGTGCCATGCGTGGAATCAGCTGTCTGGTGGATGCATTCTTAGGTGAATTTTGTGTATGTTGCTAAATGTTTGGAGACCTACATGTAGATAACTCTAGAGTATAGATTTAGAAACTTACGGAAAGCCCAAAAAAAAAGATGAACAGATTTGATTACAAATGACAAAGAAGGAAGAATTATTTGCAACAAATGTAATAGTTGAAGGCTTTCGTTGTCTTTATATAAATAGATCAAAATATGTTAAGAAAAAGAATAAGACTTGGTAGATAAATGGACAAAGGATATGAATAAATGATTTGCAGAATCCAAGAAAATACAGATTAAAATACATTAGGTATCAATTTTTTGTGTGTCACTGGGAAGCAGATTAGACCTTTTGTGAACCACTGTTTTATTTTATTTTTTTAAAGATTTTATTTATTTATTTGACAGAGAGAGAGCAAGAGAGGGAACACAAGCAGGGGGAGGGGGAGAGGGAGAAGCAGGCCTCCCGCGGAGCAGGGAGCCCGATGTGGGACTCGATACCAGGACCCTGGGATCATGACCTGAGCCGAAGGCAGACGCTTAACGACTGAGCCACCCAGGCGCCCCGTGAACCACTGTTTTAAACCATTTTGGGGCAACTGAGTGGCTCAGTCAGGTAAGTGTCTGCCTTCGGCTCAGGTCATGATCCCAGGGTCCTAGGATCGAGCCCCATATCGGGCTCCCTGCTCAGTTGGGGGCCTGCTTCTCCCTCTCCCTCTGCCTGCCGCTCCCCTTGCTTGTGCGCTCGTTCTCTGTCTCTCTCAAATAAATAAAATCTTTAAATAAAAAACCTATTTTTCACATTTTAGGAATGTGAAAAGTCTACTTTTAACCTCCCGAAAGGCATTGATATTTAATATCTGTTTTTTCTAAAACATTTATTATGTGCACTTGTTAATACATTACATAGGTAATATATTATTCAAATTAAGTTTGGCCACATAACAACCAAAAATACCAGTGGTTTGAACAGGGTAGTTTATTTTCACATATGGTAAGGCCAGGGCTAGGCAGTATAGGGCTGCTATAGCTATTCCATTATTGTAAGGGACCCAAGGCCCTTCTGTCTTGTGGCTCTTTGTGTACTCTCTCATGGGCCGTGATGGTTAAATGAGTTCCAACCATCCTGTTCAGGAATTAGGAAGGGAGGAGAGTCTGTACTTGATTGGTCTTTTTAAGATTTCTTGGAATACCCACCCAACAATCACCCACTTCTCTATGGTCAGAACATGGCCACATGTAGCTGTAAGGGAGGCTAGAATATGTAGGTGTGTATTTGGGGTAGCCATGTCCAGCTGAAGTTTGTGTTCTGTAACTCAGGAGGAAAGAACGAATAGATACTGGGAGGCAGCTAGCAGTGTCTGCTGCAGTCTGTCCTGAGCCTTCACTGGTGTTATTTGAGGCGGATTTTCTAACCACGTGTTTGAAACTATGAAGAATAACGCCACTGGTTTTTTTCTTAAAGGCATTTCTAGACCCCGGTCAGACAGTGCTCCGCCAACACCCGTGAACAGATTAAGTATGCCTCAGAGCACTGCTGTCAATACCACCCCACCACATAACCGGAGGCACCGGGCTGTTACTGTGAATAAGGCCACCATGAAGACAAGCACAGTAAGAGCTTTCGTCTCCATCTTTATGCTGTATAAAGTTGACTTTTTAATCTGCCAACATTTTAGAAAAGTCCTGCTGTTTTCTCAAACTTTTCTTGAGTGTGGATATATTCTTGTACTCCTCTAACAGGTTAGTACTGCTCATGCCTCGAAAGTCCAGCACCAGACATCCTCCACCTCTCCTCTGTCAAGTCCCAATCAGACTAGTTCTGAACCCCGGCCACTGCCTGCCCCTCGGAGACCAAAGGTTAACAGCATCTTGAATCTCTTTGGATCATGGTTATTTGATGCAGCATTTGTTCACTGTAAACTTCATAATGGGATAAACAGAGACAGCAGCATGACTGGTAAATATTGCTCAAGAAATATGTTATCACTTTTTTCTTTTCTTTTTTTTTCTTTTTAATCTTTCCTACCTGCAAGATTAATATGTATCTTAAAAAGCTTTCTGTCTCTGACCAAGCAGTGTCTTGTGTTTAACCCCTTCCAGCTGCAGTAACAGAATTTGGAAGTTGTCCTACCTGTCCTTTTTATGTCTATGAGGTTTGGCTTTTGTCTGGTTTTATTAGACACACTTCAGGTTAGCCACTTTTTGTTGAATCAAATTCCTTTCAGTAGGTGGCCGGAAGTTCCCTTCATGTCAGCCAGGATAATAATATTGATAGTAAGAATTAAAGATTTTGACCAGAAATTTATTCACAAGAAGTGTTTTCTTAGATGCTGACTGACAGCCATTCACTTATTAGTACATAAAATATTAGAAAATTTCTGCTTCATCAAAAAAACTTCTCAGGTTTTAGTCTAGAGAACTTTATTTCAGGGCACACTTTAAAAAATACCATTTGCTCTGGAACTAAATAAGACTGGTGGCGAATTAATAACTCAACCCTGATATCTTCATTTAGATTTTATTACAGAAATGACACTATTTAAATGAAATCTGATTGACTTGGAAGTAGTGGTATAGCGTGCAGGATGGGAATGTGGGGTAGTGCAGAATGTACTGGATATTTATGACATGTCTTATAGAGAACAATAATCATGGATAGCAGTTATTGAGCTGCAATGACTTTGTGCCCAGACACCATGTTATATGCACTAATGAATGTACTGGTTGTTTGGTAAGAAAGCACTTTTCCAACTGGGGTTAGATGTAGGTTGAGAGAAAAGGATGCCTAATTGCTTTAGTTTATGCATCTCTAGGGAGAGTATTAGTTCCAAGGATTAAAACTAATATGATGACCATAAAGGTCTCTGCTTTCTCTCAGAAATGCATTCTTAATCATCTCAGAACTAAGGTCTATATGAGCATTATACATGTCTAATCATTTTGGATGTCCTTACAAATCTTTTAAATAATTTAAAAAGGTGTGAATATTAAGATATTTTTTGGGAGTATAATTTGAGATTGCATGTTTGAGTTTAGATTCCTTTGTTTATTTTTTCAAATTCAGACACTTTATATTCTACCATTTCCATATTATATTTTATTTATAAGTTTGAAAGTAGTGCTTATGTATGGATAAGTAAATGTACTTATGACTAAATGAAGACTTTTAGAGAACCATTTTTGGCTTATATTTTCTTATGTTCATGTGCCTTATATTTTGAGTTTTCTGAACCATGCTTATATTTATTAATTCATATTGTATTTTCTAGAATGAATCAGTCATATTTTTAATTTTTATTTTTATTAAGGTGCAATTCTTACAGTTGTAACTTTTGGGTATCAAGCTATTGACACTAAAATCCCTGAATCCAGTATGGCTCAATCTCCTGCCTCCTTGGCTTGCTTAAAGGGAATATACAGATCTTCTCACTCTCTAGGGAGTTTGTAACAGCTTTGCTCACCCTCTTGTGCCAAAAGATGGATAATTCAGAAAATATGTGGGCAACCAATTTTTACTTTTAACTCTTAACATCTTCCTTGGTACAGAAAAGATAGAAGCTCCTCTTTCCCCTATTGTGTTTGGAGATGAGAAAGGCTGTTACATTACCCAGGAGATAGGAGGTTTCCTGGTATTTCACTGGGTTTGAGTGCTATTGGGTGCTGCTCTTGAAGTCGTGGGGGTGGGGTTGGAGGGGCGGGGGTGGAAGGTTCGGAAATACTAACACTGTTAGTCTGTTTTCTAAGTACTGGCTGCCATCAAGGAATTCTGCCATGCAGTTCACCTCTAACTTAAAATGTTTGCTTCTATGAACTGGTTAGCTCTAGACTGATGTGACATTACACTGTAGTTTGTGAAAGTAACATTGAGCTGGGAAGGGTTAATGAACTAAAATTTTAATGCACGTTATTGGCAGTTCAAAACCTCAATTCTTTGTAGTTGTGTAATTTTCTTTGTTCATTGTTTTGCATGATACAAAAATCATAATTTTGGATCTGAATGCACAATTTCCTGTTTTTGAACTAGCTTGTGGTATCATAAAGCTTTTAATCTAACTTTTAAAAAGCTAAAAAGCTTCTTAACTTATTGTAAAATTTCACCATCTTTGAAGTATTTTATAATTACTGCTGTCCTTTGATTTGTTTCCATTTATTTCTATTATCTTGCAGCATCTTTTATCCAAATTCTTCTTTCTTATAAATCTTGTAAGTAGGAACCAGAAGCTTCTCCTTAATTGCAGTCATGTTTTTATTTTTTTCATAATTCCATTAAAAAATTTGATTGTCATTGTCTCTTGTAGTTTTTGCACTTGGGAAGAAAAATACTTTTCTGTGTTTTGAATGGGGAAGATTGTTGGCAAAAGCAAATTAATCTGCCTGAATCAGTCCCATTATTTCTGTACACTAGTCTGGTCATGTCATGAATTCCAGGACTTTGCACTAACTGTGTTTTGGCTTTTTAATTTTTTTTTTTAAAGCTTTAAGCTTATTTTTATACAGATTTAGTGTTTGATTTGTATGCATTCTGCATGTAGTGTTTTTCAAATGTATTATTGCTGGATAGCTTTTTCAGGACTAAAAATGGCTCATGGGAAGTTGCATAAAGATTTATGCTTGACTCTGCATTCTATTAAAACTATTACAAAATAATTTAAACATTTCATGTGGAGTGATAAAAGATTTCAGAGTGATTATTCAATACACTGTGAAATCTTTTGTTAAAAATAAAAGCAACAAAAGCAACTTTCAAAGGGCTTCTGTTTCAGTGACAACGAATGACCATGATAATCTTTCTTACCAATCCAATTTTCTGATTTATCAACCTCAAGTTAGCTGCTGTCTGTGGTTGTTAAAATTCATTCTCATTTTGCTTGGTTGGGCAATTCTTTGGTGTGTGTTTTGGATTTGGGTGGGTGGTGGGAATGCTCTCTCTTCCTCCCTCCCCATTTCTCATCCTTACTTTGCCCTCTCCCTAAAGTATACAAACTGGCATGGGCTTGCCCATTCACTTATGATGTCTGTCTGGGGTAGTGTGTAAATTGAAGTAGCTATTTTTCTTAATGTTTAAGCATCATTCTACAGGGGGAGGAAAAAGCAGAATAAATAACAGAAAACCCAAATTCTTTTATTATATATCTGTATTGACATACAGATATATACACATGTACTCTGCTGATCAAAAATTTAGTTGAAAAATGCTTCTAGTAGAATCTATTAAACTGATAATACCAGTGTAAATTAATTGTTGCCATTTTCAAAGAAGATTTCAGAGAGCCCCTTTTTAAAAAAATAAGACGTAGTTGCCAAACAAAAGCATTACTGAATTCTATTTAAGTAAAATTTAATGACACCAACACTTGATCTTTGTGTCCAGGGTCCCATGAGCCTATTTGCATATTGACAAATATAATAAAATGCTCCTTTTCTCTCCTCAGCCATTACAACACAAGCTAGCATGGAGTTTCGACGGAAAGGGTCACAAATGTCCACAGACACCATGGTTTCCAATCCTATGTTTGATGCAAGTGAATTTCCTGATAACTATGAAGCAGGAAGAGCTGAGGCTTGTGGGACACTGTGTAGGATTTTTTGTAGCAAGAAGACTGGAGAAGAGATTCTGCCAGCTTATTTATCCAGGTCTTAGAATTTTTTCGTTTATTTTTCCATTTATATAGTTTTGATAGTGAAACTCTATTATAGCATGGCTTGGTAGGCTGAAGTGATAAGTAAATTTTGGTCTGAAATACTTGCAAATGTCTGTAAGTAATTGGAATTTTTGCTTGAAATTCTTGCATTTTACCTGCCTCATCAAATTTGGTAAAGATCCTTAAGATGCTTTTTATTTTAGAAGTATTATTTATTTCATTATATTTTACTTTTATTAATGATGGAGAGATTTGGAAGGATCACATTACTTAAATAAATTTTTAGCACAGTATTAGGCACTATAAATGGTCCAGAAATGTTAGCTGTAAATCTCGTCTCTGAGGAGCTTATTTTCTCAAGTGAGCAAAGCCATGTACTTAAGTAACAATGATCCAAATAGTAATGGGAAGTTGGTAGGAGAGAGGCAGAGATCGAGTGCTGTGGGCATTCAGAAGCAGCAGCAGTATACACTTACCCCAGGGGTTCAGGAAACAGTTCCAGAGGATGGGATGATTGTGCTGGACTTAAAAAGGATGGGTAGTGTTCAGCCTATGTTAGCAGGTTGGGTAGGGTCCTCTTATCCAAATCGGTGACTTCAGCCATCTTGGTGAATGGCTCTGGCAGCCATTTAGTTGCTCAGGCCAGAAACTAGGAGTCATTTTAGACTCTTCTCCCTCTTTATCTTTGGATGGTGAACAACTCCTGCCTTTCTGTTACTTAACCCTCTTTCTAATCTCTCCACTCTGTCCTCACCATGACACTTTAGACCTTGTCACTTTTTTCCTAAATTAATTTGTAGTGGCCTCCTATTTTTCTTGACTCTGTTTTGCTTTCCTGAACTGATCATTCGCATAGCTGCTAAAGTGATCAACAAGAACATTCAGGTGTCTGTACCTGCTGGGTTCTCAGGAATGAAGATTAAACTGAATCAGAGGGAACTGAGTGCAGAATCCTATAGGCCTGAAACAGAAAGGTACATACAGGCAGCTGATCAGGGGTATCTTAATAGGTTCTTGGCTTTAAGTAACAGGAAACTCCTCAATGTGATTTAAGCAAAAATGGTAATGACTTATGAGAAACTGTGCTATTTAATACATTCTAAGGTTAGGACATGCACCAGGGCCTCACAAAGGGCAGGGATGAGAAACTAGAAAGTGTTCAAGGAACAAAACAACTTCCTTTCTGTTTCTCTGTCTTCATGGTCTCCCATGCTTCATTCTTCTCTTCTCTGCAGATTATTTTCTTATATTCAGTATGCCTCTGAGTTCCCAAATTCCATGACTTTGGTCTAGATGACCAGCGGGGCCAGTTAGCATTTCTGAAGCCTAATTTCAGATTCCTGGGAAAGAGGATCTGATTAATCAGGTGTCTTCCTCTGGTCTAGCCAGCAACAACTGTGAGGGTGGGTCACACGAAGTGCTGGAGCTCATCCCTTGTGGTGGGGGCATAGTCTCAGGAGGGAGACTATGGGTTGGGGAGATACTCCAAAGAGTAAATAGCAATAAGGGAGAAGGCTGTGATCGTGAGCTTTCTGTCTGGCCCCTAAGACTGGATGGGTGGGAGTACGACCACCTGAAAGAGCAGATTTGTTAGAGGGCAAGTGATGAATTAGTTATGAAACTATTGAGTTTGAGATGCCTGTAGGATATTAATCAACAAATATTTAAGTTCCTACTGTGTGCCAGACACTGTGCATAGGAAGTACTGGAGTAATCAGTACAAATTATCAGTAATCAATAATTAGACATGACCTGCTTTCAGGTATCCAACACACTTTTGGTTAACAGATCTGGGGCTCACTTGAGAGGCATGGGCTAGAGATTGGTTTGGTTATATTCAGGAGCTTAAAACCAGGTTAGTACGAGAGAGAGCTTATTAGAGAGTGGAGCTTGACAGCCTGATGGATACCAGTATAGGAGTCAGGTGGAGTAAGAGGGTCTATTACAGAAAACATCTACAGAGGTCACAGAAGGAAAAGAAGAGAAGAAGGGAGTAATTAAAGGGTTGAATGCTTTAAAAAAGGCAGAGGAAGTTAAGACTTAGACATGTCTTCTGGATTTAGCAGTTGAGTGGCTCTTGGTTATTTGCTGACATGGTTTCAACTGATTCTAGGAGGAGAAGCTAGATTGCAGTGTGCTGAGTAGTGACCGGGAGGTGAGGAAGTTGTTTCCCGAATAGGTTTGTGGAGAAAAGTGCCTCATGGTAGTAGAAGAGTTTACCGATATAGTTGCTCTTAAATGATGGAAGATCGAATACTTAGTTGATTGGGGGTTAGGAGAGGAGGATAAAAGAAAGTGGGCTCAGGATTATTCCTAAAAGGAGTCTTACTCAGACTCACCTCCATGTCGTGGTAAATGCAGGGTTGAAAGGTTTCTTTCTTTCATTGTCACCCCGGAAATGATGGGGAAAGAGAAAAGCCACAACACACACTTTTTTTCTTCTTCAGGAATTGGGAAAGGTTGCAAAATTTTACTGGCATGGAATTCAGTTCACTAATTACTAATTACTCCAGTCATTTGTCTTGTTTTGGTGACTTCATTTGCAGGCACCTATAACTGAGTTGCAAGGCTTAACACTTCAAGAAGGTGTAATAGACATGAATCTTTTTTCTCTTTTCATTGGGAAAGATAATTTGGTTTTTAGTATATTTGCTTTTGAATTGTTCTAAGTCTAGTAACACCTCTTAAAGGATAGAAGTAGTGAAGAATGGAAATAGACTTTCAGATGACTGTGTAGAAAATATTAATAATTATGAAAACAATTGATCAGCAGTTTATTTAAAATTTTTTTCTTGCTTTCCTAGATTTTACATGCTTTTAATTCAAGGTTTGCAGATAAATGATTATGTGTGCCATCCTGTCTTGGCCAGCGTTATTCTAAACTCCCCTCCTTTGTTCTGCTGTGACTTGAAAGGGATTGATGTTGTGGTTCCTTACTTTATTTCAGCTCTTGAAACCATTTTGCCTGACAGGTAAGTTCTCACTCTGTACTAGCATATCACTTGTTGGGTTTGGCCTGGTCTGTTTTGGTGCTTCCTCCCCAGTTTCCTTATTTATCCTGTGCAGTTGTCTTTATAGCCCAAGGGGACTCAGGTCACATTACGTGAGCATAGAACATCCAGATATACCTCATCCCTGAATTCATTTAGTTCTAATTTGTCCTGGGCATGTTGAATCCTTTTTGGCCTGGTTTAGAGGGCTAAGAACAACCCCAGCCCAGAGGTCCTACTTTTATAGAGTAGATCATACATTTGAAATCAATCAGATTCTAGTTTAATTCTCTAACAGTTTAACGTAGAAATTCACACACATGCACACATACACACACCCCGCAGAATATAAACTCAGTGGAAAGTAGTTACTGCATTCTTTATGAAACCAAATCCAGTGCTTATATTGTGAAAAATTGACATAATGTATATTTGGCAATAGCTAAAAACAAGCTTTGGTTTGGAAATACCAATAGCTATTTCTTTTTTTCTTTCTTTCTTTTTTTTTTTTGGCAGAGAACTCTCAAAATTCAAAAGCTATGTAAATCCAACAGAATTGAGAAGATCTTCCATTAATATCCTCCTTTCTTTGTTGCCCCTCCCACATCATTTTGGCACAGTCAGATCTGAGGTAATGTTTTATTAAAGTTTTTTATATTCTATATTCTGTTTTGTGTGGTTAAATCTGTCACATTGTACTTTAAAAATGGAACATGAGCTTTTTAAAACTTTTCTCAGATTATTTCAATCAAATCGACAAAGCTGATTTATTGTGGTATTTCTTCTTTCAGCCAGCCAGCATGCCTTGGTCTACTATTTCAGGTGGCGATAGCTAGTGACAGCTAATAATAACACATGTTGAGTGAGTTAGTGCCAGACTTAGCACAGGAGCTAGTACTAGTCAGATTGAAACCCTTGCTTGTTAGCCTGGTCTCTTTGTCCACTGTAGGAGTTGTCACATGGGCATAGTGCACCACAACAGTTGATGTTGAATATTATTTGTTTCTTCCATAGGTGGTCCTGGAAGGAAAGTTTAGTAATGATGACAGCTCTTCATATGATAAACCAATAACTTTTTTGTCCCTGAAGTTGAGACTTGTGAATATACTAATAGGTGCCTTGCAAACGGAAACGGACCCCAACAACACTCAAATGATACTAGGTTTGTGTTCACACATTTTTTTGTAAGTGAACCCACACACTGTTGACCCCAGGCATGCTTGGAAGGCAGGGGTCAGTGATGAAGCCTGAGCCTAATACAGCTCTACTTATTCTGAATCAGAGGCAGAATTTGTTTGCTTTTATATGTGAAAAAGTTTAAAGGGGTGAGAAGAGGGAAGGGGAAAGCATTATAGTTGTTTTAGGGGGTCATTTTTGCTTAGTTTTATTTGTGTTATTTTTCTCTTTTCCTCTTGCCTTTCCTCTCTCCTCCTGTCCCCTTACCCCCTTCCTCTTCCCTCTCTCCTCTTTCCTTCCCTCCCTTACATCTGCGTTTTCCTCTGCCTCCTGCCCATTATGTCCATGGGGAAAAAATTTTGAGTTGGGTGTAAATCTGGAAGCTATGTCAGAACCCTACCAGGAGGAAACTGAGAAGTAGCTGTTGCTGTGCTTCCTTCCTTTTTCCTTAATGTTCTCTGTTGGTCTCCTGATCGTACTGATTCTCTGTTTTATTTTTTTTTTAATTTTTTTAAAGATTTTATTTATTTGACAGAGAGACAGCGAGAGAGGGA